TGTTGTTTGGCGGGTCCAGGCTGGGGATTCGAACCCGCCACCTTAGGTGTACGTGGCTGGCGCCTTAGCCGGTTGAGCTATAGGCGCCGAGCCATATAAGAAATTTTTAGGGTCGGGCGCAGTGGCTCACTAGCACTTTAATCCTAGCACTCTGGGAGGCCAAACCAGGTGGATTGCCTGAGCTCACAGGTTTGAGACCAGTCTGAGCCAGAGTGAGACCCCCATCTTTAAAAATAGCCAGGCAGCTCGGCGCCTGTAGGACAGTGGTTATGGCACCAGCCACATGCACTGAAGCTGGCAGGTTTGACATGGGCTCGGGCCAGCTAAGCAACAATGACAACTGCAACAAAAAAAAAACAGCTGGGAGTTATGGTTGGTGCCTATAGTCCCACCTACTCAGGAGGCTGAGTCAAGAGAATTGCTTAAGCCCAAGAGTTTGAGGTTGCTATGAGCTGTGACGCCACAGCACTCTACCAAGGGTGACATAGTGAGACTATCTCAAAAAAAAAAAAAAAAAAAAAAATTAGCTGGGCATGGTGATGTGTGCCTGTAGTCCCAGCTACTCAGGAGGCTGAAGCAAGAGGATCTCTGAGCTGAAAAGTTTGAGGTTGCTGTGAGGTATGATGCCATGGCATTCTACCCAGGGTGACAGAGTAGGACTCTGTCTCAAAAAAAAAAGAAAAGAAAAAGGAAAATACACACATAGTATATGCATTTTTTTCTATGTGGAATGAATTACAATGTACTTTGTTTTTTTTTCTCAACTATTCATAAAGAACTTATGCAATGTACTTTGTAAAAAAAAAAACACAACACTGAAAAAGCCTCTTAAGTAGAGATTGTGAAAATTGCTTTTGATATTCCCTCACTTCTTAGAAATATTTACTCATCTAGATGGGGCAGGCACAGTAGCTCATGCCTGTAATTTTAGCACTTTGGGAGGCTGAGGCAGGAGGTTTACTTCAGGACAAGACTTTAAGACCAGAATGGGCAACACAGTGAGACCCTTGTCTCAAAAAAAAAAAAAAAATTAGCTAGGGTGGTGGCACATACCTATAGTCCCAGCTAGTCCAGAGGCGGAGGCAAGAGGATCACTTAGCCCAGGAGTTTCAGGTTGTGGTGAGCTATTATGATGCTACTGCACTCTAGCCTGGGTGACATTTCAACAGCTTATTTTGCTAGCCAGGTATTTGTGTTTATCTAAAATTGTTAATTCCAGTTTTGTTTATTTTGGAAAATATCAGTTACATTGACAATACAGAAATCAATGAGAGATAAAAAGCAGAAGCTCTGTAATGCTAATGTCAGTCATTCAGTATTAACAGACCTAAAATATACTTTTATGAAAATAAAGCCTCAAACTTGAACAGTTTCTTCAGAAACAATACAGGATATGTGTGTGTATACACACACACACACACACACACACACACACATACATATATATATTTTTTTGATACAGAGTCTGATTTTGTTGCCCTCAGTAGAGTGCCATGCCATCATAGCTCACAGTAAGCTCAAACTCTTGGGCTCAAATGATTCTCCTACCTCAGCCTCCCAAGTAGCTGGGACTACAGGCACCTGGCCATTTTCAGAGACTGGGTCTCGTTCTTACTCAGGCTGGTCTGACTCCTGGGCACAAGCAATCCACCCACCTGGGCCTCCCAGAGTATTAGGATTATAGGTGTGAGCCACCTCTCTCAGCTTCAGAAACTATATTTTGAGGGAAAATATGTCTAAAGTGATTACCTTGCATTTCACAGCACCCAAAGTAATAGCGTGACACAGCCATGTTGCCAACTATTTCCCATTTATTTTCATCAGGATCAAATCGTTCAATGGTGTTTCCTATCTCAGATCCAACCCATCCACCTGTAACCAAATAGAAAAATGTTTTATTTCTGAGCTAAAGGAATCAAAGACCTTAGTAAAGATCTAATCCAAATACTTCATATTAGGAAAGTATATCACATGGAACAGAGAGGTTATTTGTTCCAAAATCATATAACAAATTAGAATTTGGCGATGAATGGAACTCATCTTTTAATTCCCCATTTTCACTAGAGACTAAAACAAAATAAACACATAACTTAAACATACTACATTGGAAATAGGGTATTTTGCAAAACTACTTTTTTTTTTTTTTTTGTAACACTCTTACTCTGTGTCCTGGGTAGAGTGCCGTGGCATCATAGACCACAACAACCTCAAACTCTTGAGCTCAAGAGATCCCTTTGCCTCAGCCTCCTGAGCAGCTGGGACTATAGGTGCTCATCACAATGCCCAGTTATTTTTAGAGACAAGTTCTTCCTCTTGCTCAGGCTAGTACAGGCATGTACAGGCATGAACCACCAAGCCAGGGCCAAAACTACCTTTTGAAATGACTTCTACATATTCAGAATGGTTCCTAATCAAAGACACCTCTAAGTCTAATTAAAGTATACTGTGTATTTAGTATAATTTCAGAAACTTCAAAAAGGTCCATCTCTGTGACATTTCCTTAACCACTCTCCAATTATTGAAATCAAAACTTTTTCCCGATAATTTTAGATGTAACTACAAAATGAAAAATTTTTATTTTATTTTTTTGTAGAGACAGAGTCTCACTTTATTGCCCTCGGTAGAGTGCCATGGCATCACAGCTCACAGCAACCTCCAACTCCTTAGGCGATTCTCTTGCCTCAGCCTCCCAAGTAGCTGGGACTACAGGCGCCCACCACAATGCCCAGCTATTTTTTTGTTGCACTTTGGCTGGGGCTGGGTTTGAATCTGCCACCCTTGGTATATGGGGTCGGTGCCCTACCCACTGAGCCACAGGTGCCGCCCCAAAATGAAAATATTTGTGGGAGTAATCAAACATAAGGTTAAATTCACACTGGGTTAAGTCATATTTTTCCCATAATAGGTTTTGATGGGGGGAGGACACGAAGTCTCATACAGTGAATTGAATAAAGAGTGATAAGGAAAACATAAGGGGTGCTGGGGAGGCTGTGTGGGCTATGTCAAGTTACAATTTTCCCTAGGAACAACCTTGTTTGTAACATTTATTATACTGATAATCAAAGAAGTAGAATCACTTATTCAAAATTATTTACCGAATCTGCAACAATGAAAATAATTTAGTGCATAACTTCCTTTTGGTAGCTTTAATTTTTGATATGCATTTTCTTCTACTAGACATAATTAAGCCACTATAGAAAGTGGTAGAAATGTTATGTACTTAATTAAAATTAAACATGAGATTTAACTAGTCAGCTAAAGTGTTTCACTGGACATCTCATCTAATTTTATCTCTGGTAATACAATTTTGAGAGTAAGAATTATAAGAGCTGATGAGTGCATGTATAGCAGGCTCCACAAGTTTGTGATGCCTTGCACTGGTCAAGAACAACCTGCAGGATAGTATGAGCAACCAGCAGGTTGGCTGGTTGGAGGTCTACCACCTGCCTCACCTTGCCCTGACCACAGGTGCTCATGTCTTCCTAGGCCATGGATAGACAGCCCAGGGGTACTCCCTCTATCCTCATTTCCCTGTTCACCCTCTCCCCAAAAATCCTACCCAGCCTCCTCTCCCACTCCTTGCCAGTCCCCAAAGCATGTGGATTATAAAACAAGCCAGTTGGCTCGGCTCCTATAGCTCAACCGGCTAAGGCGCCAGCCATGTACACCTAAGGTGGCGGGTTCGAATCCCCAGCCCGGACCCGCCAAACAACAATGATGGCTGCAACCAAAAAAAAAAATAGCCAGGCGTTGTGGCGGGTGCCTGTGGTCCCAGCTACTTGGGAGGCAGAGGCAGGAGACTCGCTTGAGCCCAGGAGTTGGAGGTTGCTGTGAGCTGTAATGCCATGGCACTCTACCCAGGGGGACAGCTTGAGGCTCTGTCTCAAAAAAAAAATAAATAAATAAAACAAGCCAGTTTTAAGAAAAAGAATTTACAAAAGGAGGGAAGGAACATCTCTAAAATAATCAGAACATGAGAATTTAAATATCTTTAAATTGAACAACATAATTACCCAAAGCATAGATAGCCCCATAACACACACACACTCCTAAGCCACAGCGGGGATGATTCATTGAAGCTACAGTTGTCCACTGTTTAGTAACTGGATCATAGCATTCAGTACAGTCAAAAATCATCGAATCCTTTTCACCTGAGTTAAATTAAAGAAACACATATCAGAAGGTTTAGTGAAAAATGCTAATAGACTAGCACCATAATACAATATTCAGTAGTATTCTCTATTGTTAGAAATATAATCATTACATCTGATTTTATACTATTCATTAAAATTAATTTGCTTGGCAAGCATTATTTTGGATCTATAGCACTGTCATTTATTAAAGGCCACCTACAAACAATTTTCCCATTATCTATTTTGTTTTTGAGACAATCTCACTCTATCACCTAAGGTAGAATACCTTGAAATAGAGTCTCACTCTGTCACTTTGGTGGTGTCATCATAGCTCACAGCAACCTCAAAATCTTATTAGGCTCAAGCAATCCACCTGCCCTGGCCTCCCAGAGTGCTAGGATTATAGGTGTGAGCCAACATCACTGGCCCCTAATTCCCTTTTTTAAAACAGATTTAACAAACTGATTCTAAAATTTTTATGAAAAGTACAAAGGGCCTAGAATAGCCAAGTACTCCCAAAAAAGACTAATGAGAAAGAAATAACCATATCCTATATCAAGACCTATGATAGACTGGCTCGGTGCCCATAGCACAGTGGTTATAGCACCAGCCACATACACCGAAGCAGGCAGGTTCAAACCTGGCCCAGGCCAGCTCTACAACAATGACAACTGCAACAAAAAATAGCTGGGTATTCTGGTGGGCACCTGTAGTCCCAGCTGCTTGGGAGGTTGAGGCAAGAGAATCACTTAAGCCCAAGAGCTTGAGTGTCGCAGTACTCTACTGAGGGCGACATGACACTCTGTCTCAAAAAAAAAAAAGACCTATGCTAGAGCTATAGTAATTGAGATAAAAATAGACAGACTAATGGAACAGAAAAGAAATTTCAGGAACAAAGACACACATATATGATTACTTGATAGATGACAGAGTCAGCTCTGCAGAACAGTGGGTAAACAATAGTAATTTATGCTGGGAGAATTGGTTACACCTTGGGAGAAAAATGAAACTGACTAATTCCCTACTTTGTATTATCTATAAAAACCCACGTCCAGGTAGAATACTAACATAAATGTAAAGGGAAAAACTATAAAATTCTGTAAGAACATAAAAGTAGGAATATCCTTAAGACTTTGGAGTAGGGTGCAGAGCCTTTGGCTCAGTGAGTAGGGTGCCGGCCCCATATACTGAGGGTGGCAGGTTCGAACCCAGCCTCAGCCAAACTGCAACAACAACAAAAATAGCCAGGCATTGTGGCAGGCATCTGTAGTCCCAGCTACTTGGGAGGCTGAGGCAAGAGAATTACCTAAGCCCAAGAGCTGGAGGTTGCTGTGAGCTGTAAAGCCATGACACTCTACCGAGGGCAACAAAGTGAGACTGTCTCTAAAAAAAAAAAAAAAGACTTTGGAGTAGGGAAGGATTTCTTTTTTTTGCCAGGGCTGCATTTGAACCTGCCACCTCTGGCATATGGGGCTGGCACCCTACTCCCTTGAGCCACAGGTGCTGCCCAGGGAAGGATTTCTTTTTTTTTTTTTTTTTTTGAGACAGAGCCTCAAGCTGTCCCCCTGGGTAGAGTGCCGTGGCATCACAGCTCCAACTCCTGGGCTCAAGCGAGTCTCCTGCCTCCGCCTCCCAAGTAGCTGGGACCACAGGCGCCCGCCACAACGCCCAGCTTTTTTTTTTTGGTTGCAGCCATCATTATTGTTTGGCAGGCCCGGGCTGGATTCGAACCTGCCAGCTCAGGTGTATGTGGCTGGAGCCTTAGCCACTTGAGTCACAGGCACTGAGCCGATGGACTTTTTATCTATCCTTTTTATTTTTTTTGAGACAGGGTTTCACTTTGTCACCCTCAGTAGAGTGCCCTGGAGTCACAGTTCATAGGAACCTCAAACTCCTGAGCTCAAGCAATTCTCTTGCCTTAGCCTCCCAAGTAGCTGGGACTACAGGCACTTGCCCCAACACCCAGCTATTTTTTGAGATGAGGTCTTGCTCTGGCTCACCCTGTCTCTAAAAATAGCCAGGCATTGTGGCAGGTGCCTGTAATCCCAGCTAATAGGGAAGCTGAGGCAAGAGAATTACTTGAGCCCAAGAGTTTGAGGTTGCTGTGAGCTGTAATGCCATGGCACTCTACTGAGGGTGACAAATGAGACTCTGTTTCAAAAAAAAAACAAAAGTTTTTTTATCATACAATACTGATCTGATTTTTGGTGCCACATTTTAGAAACAACTTTTCATTAAAACCATACTTAAGTTTTTTTGAGACAGAGTCTCAACCTGTCACCTTTGGTAGAATGCCACAGCATCATAGCTCACAGCAACCTCCAACTTTTTTGGGCTCAGGTGATCCTCTTGCCTCAGTTTTTATCTATTTTTAATAGAGATCGGGTCTCACTTTTGCTCAGGGTGGTCTTGAACTCGTGAGTTCAAGTAATCCATCCACATCGACCTTCCACAGGGCTAGGACTATAAGCGTGAGCCACCACACCTGGCCTCATACTTAAATATTGTGCCTTGTAATAAATCATAATATACATCTGGTATGCAATACTCAACATCTTTCCTTTTTCTTTCTGTCATTCATTTATTACATCAATGTTTATTGAACCCCACTATACATATGTATACCACATAGCAATATGTATAAGGCATATAAGATAATGGTTAGCTAGACTAATAAGACATTTTTATTATTACCTCCAATTGCGTAGACCATCCCTCCTAGAACTGCTACTCCCAGTCCACATCGAGCCTGATGAAGTGAAGACACAGTGGTCCAATACTGACTAAAAGTGTCAAAACGTTCTACACAGCTTAGGGCTCTGCTATCACTCCAACGACCTCCCTGCAACCGAGTATATCCACCTAAACAAGAGAAGGAAAAGAAGTACAAGGAAATCCTTTAATACTGGATTTAGAAATGGTAGTAATAAGCAAAACCTAGCCCTCTATATCTAAACATTAAGCATAACTATTTTTTTTGAGAATATTACTATGTCCTCCCTCAGTAGATTGCCGTGGTGTCACAGCTTACAGCAACCTCAAACCCCTCTTGGGCTTAAGCGATTCTATTGCCTCAGCTTCCCAAATAGCTGGGACTACAGGTGCCTACCACAACACTCAGCTATTTTTTTGTTGTTGTTATTGTTGTTTAGGAGGTCTGAGCCAGATTCAAAACCTCCAGCCTCAGTGTATGAGGCCAGCACTCTAACTACTGAGCTATGGGTGCTGACCCATTAAGCATAACTATTATGTACCAAGAAATAAATGCTTTAGAGCTTGCAATATGTACAATATGTTGCATAAATATATGCATATTATTCTTGGCCAGGCATGGTGGCTTATGCCTGTAATCGTAGCACTATGGGAGGTCAAGTGGGAGGATCACTTGAGGTCAGGGGTTCAAGACCAACCTGAGGAAGACTGAGACCCCCATCTCTACTAAAAATAGAAAAATTAGACAGTATGGTGGCACATGCCTATAGTCCCAATCCACTTGGGAGGCTGAAATAGGAGGACCACTTGACCCCAAGAGTTTGTAGTTACTGTGAGGTAGGCTAAGGCCATAGCACTCTAGACTGGGCAACAGGGTGAGACACACATATATTTATATCAAATTAAAAAATATATATATATGTATATATGTAGGATAACAGCATGAGCCACTGTACCTGACATATATATATACACATATACATGTATATATACACATACATATATATTATATTGTGCCTGAATATATATATGCTTGTTATCCTAGTAGTCTGGGATGCCCAGGTGGGTGGATTGCTTGAGCTCACAAGTTTGAGACCAGCCTGAGCAAGAGCAAGACCTCATCTCTAACAATATATGTTGTTAGACAGGGGTTGTGGCAGGCATCTTTAGTCCCAGCTACTTGGGAGGCTGAGGCAAGAGAATCGCTTGAGCCCAAGAGTACAAGCTTGCTATGAGGTATGACACCATGGCACTCTACTGAATGAGACTCTGTCTCAAAAAAAAAAAAAAATATATATATATACACACACACACACACACACATACACATATATATGGAGAGAGAGAGAGATGAAATTCTTAGATGTCCCAATTCCTGAAAGATTACAACTTAAATGCAGTGAGATGTTAACCTCAGTGTTTTATCACCTGCTCTTGGTCATAATAGAATATTTTTAGCAGATAAAGAGCTGGGCACAATGGCTCTTATTTCTAATACCAGCATTTTGGGCAGCTGTGTCAGGAGGTTTGCTTAAAGCCAGGAATTCAAGACCAGCCTGGACAACATAATGAGACCCGACCCTCCCTCTACGAAAAATTAGCTGGGCATGGTGGTGAGTGTGCACCTCCAGTCCCAGTTACTAGGAAGGCTGAGAGAGAAGGATCACTTGAGTTCAGGAGTTTGAGGCTGCATTGAGCTATAATCATGCCAGTGCACTCAAGCCTGGGTGACAGAGCAAGACTTTGTCTCAAAAGAAAATAATAATAATAAAAGAATGTTAAATAAAATAGGCACTGCTGATCCATCTAGTTGGAAAAGTTTCATTATGACCCTTCCCATTAGTGTCTTTTTCAATTAAAAATAGTGGGTAGAAATCTTTACTTTGACTATACAGAGGCCAGGTACAGTGGCGCATTCCTGTAATTCTAGCACTCTAGGAGGCTGAGGTGGGCAGATTGCTTAAGCTCAGGAGTTTAAGACCAGCCTGAGCAAAAGTGAGACCCTGTCTCTACTAAAATAGAAAAATTAGGCAGACATTGTGACATGCAACTGTAGTCCCAGCTATTTGGGAGGCTGAGGCAAGAGAATCACTTAAGCCCAAAAGTTTGAGATTGCTGTGAGCTGTGACGCCATGGCACTCTACCCAGGGCAACAGAGTAAGACCATGTCAAAAAACAAAACAAACCTCAGCGCCTGTACCTCAGTGAATAGGCACTGGCCACATACACTGAGACTGGCAGGTTCAAGCCTGGCCTACCAAACAATGACAGGCTCCGCGCCTGTAGCTCAGTGGCTAGGGCGCCAGCCACATACACCTGAGCTTGTAGGTTCAAATCCAGCCCAGACCTGCCAAACAACAATGACAACTACAACCAAAAAATAGCCGGGCGTTGTGGCGAGCACCTATAGTCCCAGCTACTTGGGAGGCTGAGGCAAGAGAATCACTTAAGCCCAAGAGTTTGAGATTGCTGTGAGCTGTTACACTACAGCACTCTACTCAGTGCAACATAGTGAGACTCTTTCTCAAAAAAAAAAAAGAAAAGAAAAAAAGACTATACAGCCAATTAGCAAAAATAAAGTTGGCATGTACCCCAAAGCTGTCTATTTAAATATTATATAGGGCAGTGCCTGTGGCTCAGCAGGTAGGGCGCCAGCCCCATATACCAAGGGTGGCGGGTTCGAACTCGGCCCCAGCCAAAGTGCAATAAAAAAATAGTGAGGCATTGTGGCGGGCACTGGTAGTCCCAGCTACTCAGGAGGCTGAGGCAAAAGAATCGCTTAAGCCCAGGAGTTGGAGGTTGCTCTGAGGTGTGATGCCACAGCACTCTACCAAGGGCGATACAGTGAGACTCTTGTCTCTAAAAAGAAAATAATAATAAATATTATATATATAATTATATGTAAATTATAAATTGTATCTTATGTAAAACTATACTATATATAAAGCTGGATAATTTTTCACTCTATACATTAAATATTGATAAAGTTCAATGCTTTTTGAAAAAAATGAAAAGAAGTTTTAGTATATTCCTTTTATATTCCTAAAGATCATCATGTACAACTATACTTTAGAGATCACTGGTTCCTGTCAGCCCTAATGACCATCTAAGACACTGTGAATATTTCAAAATTTTGACATTTTCCATATTTTTCAAAGAATTCAAACATTTAACTTTTTTTTTTTTAATTTGTTTTGAGACAGAGTCTCACTATGTCGCCCTGAGTAGAGTGCTGTGGCCTCATAGCTTACGGCAACCTCAAACTCTTGGGCTCAAGCGATTCTCTTGCCTCAGCCTCCCAAGTAGCCGGGACTGTAGGCACCTGCCACAACAACTGGCTATTTTTTGCTGAAGTTGTCATCATTGTTGCTCAGCTGGCCTGAGCCAGGTTCAAACCCACTAGCCTCAGTGTATGTAATCATTGTGCTATGGGCACCGAGCCTAAGCATTTAACTTTTAAAACAGTGTTTCTTTAGTTAGTTATTTGATGATAACTAGGTAATCTAAGAACCCACACACATCAAATGGGTAGCTATTTATTTTTAGATGTGTTGACTGTAATATATGAATACAATTTATAAATCCATAGCCTGTATGTGAAATTAAATATGCCTCTTTGACACCTGCATATTCTGACATGTACAGTGGTAACAAAATATTAAAAGGCTTGGTCCTGAAAATAAAGGTAATTTCTATTACTTTTTTAAAGGCTCTTACCTACTGCATATAGGTACTTTCTTGCTTTCTTCCGAGGTCGAACTTTAGATGGCTGCAGGAAACTACAGAACTTATTCTCTTTGGGAGACTTGCACACTTCACAGTACTCTTTCAAAAGTGTTTGCAATGCAACACGAAGATTAAAATCAAATACTCCTAAAGCAATGTTTAAAAAGACAATGCTTGAAATAACTTTTAAATGATAGTGAAAGAACATGTTTCTATAAAGACATATTTAATAATCAAGAAATAAAATCTCACCATTAGACAGTGGTATTTATTTCCCAAAACACTAAATATTAATTTTCTCATTCCTAGCAAATAATATTTTTTTTTTTTTTTTTTTTTTGAGACAGAGCCTCAAGCTGTCCCCCTGGGTAGAGTACCGTGGCATCACACTCACAGCAACCTCCAACTCCTGGGCTCAAGCGAGTCTCCTGCCTCAGCCTCCCAAGTAGCTGGGACCACAGGCGCCCGCCAC